ATGCAATTAACTACAAAGGCAACAAGATGAAAAAAATCCTACACATTTTTGTTCACTCACTGCCTGGAAACAGGTATTATAAGCATGTTTGAAGAAAAATTGCAGCTAAAGACRTAAGTAATAACAAAGGAACCACTATCATCCTGCTACAGTATTGTGTATTTACTCACATATTTTAAAAGGAATTTTAACCAGGGATTTTTACTGCATTGGCTTTAAAATAATACACATACTGTAAATTTTCAGAGGAATGGCAGTGGAGTTATTAGCTTGGCTTCTCTCACTGGCAAGACATTCCTCCCCTTGCAAGTCTCCATGACCTTGTGGTAATTAAGAAGAAAGGAGACTAGGCTGACTAGCAAACAAAAATGGGATTTATTTCCAGCTTCTTCTCTGTTTTGTTAGATATCTCGCTCACATGGCAAATATTACCTATATTCAAAGGCTTCACATATATGGCTGATGCATTCCCTAATGGAGCAAGGTACACAGCTGTTAAGTAAGAGATTTCTGCTGTACTGCTGTTTGTCATGGTTTGTGTTCAGCAAGGTGCTACTCAACATATGAATAGCTTCTCAGATATTAGCTGCTCCTTCATGGAATGAAATTGTGGCTTCAGTTTCAAGTAATTATCTCMTTTAATTGGTGTGGTTTGCAAGACACTAGCTGAGTAATTCTAATTTGGGAATAATAAAGTACTTCCCCCATGACTATTATCTTCCCCGAATATTATCCACCACAGACTCACAGATCTATTTCCCATTTTTATGTGACGCAAATGGTTGGACGTGAAGTTACAACAGCAAAGGGCCACAACCTTCTGCAATAGATAATGCAGCAAATATCAGATCACCAGGTGTGCAATACAAGACTTGCAGTCAAGAGTCTATTCCTGAGTCACTAATTTAGCTGGAAATATAGTTAATCCAGCTTTTTAAGGACAAAGGTTTCTTTTCACTAAAATGGGTGGGGACACTGCATATCGAATTTCATAGCATTCCTGAGGCATGGCCAGGCTTCATAAAATGCCTGAAATCTGTCAAATGAAAGGATATAACAACTAGTTAAAAATACAAACCAAACATAATTCACTAATATTCCATGTGACCCACCTTTCCTCCCCTTCAGTTTTCTGATTCAGTTTCCTCGCAGATCATTGCTCAGGAAGCTGAAGCCACAGATTGAAAACACCCTGAAGCCTTCGGACGMTTACCTAATGCTGGCAATCCAGCCCAGTGTGCTGGCACCAAGATGACACCAGAGAGTCAATTCCTGCAGCTGACTCACTGCTGGCTTTAGGCGTAGCACAAAATGTATTGTTTTGGAGAAGGCTGGATCAGAGCTGTCTGCTCCGTGACACATACTCTTGTTAAGTTCTCCAGGGAGGGCAGAGACAGAGCTGATCTGCACAGTGCTTCACCCTATGAACCATGTGATATGGTTTTTTAACAGTATCAAAGACTGTGCCTTTATGACAATAAAAATGTTGAGTTCTACTGCTAATGTCCCCTGCAAATCAAAAGATAATAAACACTAGTACAAGTTGATACATGACAGATCAGAGAGGGGCTTTCACTGGATCAGAACATGAAGATATTCACACATTGAAGGCTGCACCTATAAGATCTGTAACTCTTATGGAAGCTGCTCCATGAACAACAGAGGCATGGTGGCTCCATGGGGACTGCCAGGAATGAGGTGCTAAAAATCACTACTATCAAAAGCTTTAAAAGGCAATGTCTACTTCATTCTAATGAAATCTCCACTGCAAAAGGCTCTTCTTCTCTTCACCATATGGATGCAGTGTTGCAGAGCAAATTTCTGCTTCCCTGAGAAGTTGCCCAAAAGCTGCATACCTGCTCTGTGTAAATCAACCTCTCCAGGTAATAAAATTCTRCATCTGCTCAACAGCTGTTCCAACCCAGCAGTCAGAAACCAAATGAATTAAGAGAGTGAAAAATAACTGACCTTTTCTAAATGGATCACAAAACAAGTCTCAATTTACATAAGGTGCTCAACAGCCTCCAAGTAGCAAGAACTTCTGGTCATGAACAGCTGACAGAAGTTAAGCTTGTGGTGAGAGACCAAGGTACCTCCACAGTCTCTAACGGAGACAAATCTTCTCTTAGGAGCAGGTAGGCAGATCACACAAACCTTGCACTGATTTYATAATCCACCAGTGTTAWATCCAGGGTGGAGATAATACTCTTTCATTTCCTTCTCTTCAGGGTAAAGCACTTTCCTCTCCCTACAAGGATTGGTTTTCTACCATATATTTGTTTCCTAAAGTAATCTTCACTTAATTTTCTCTGTGTCTCATATAAAACCCAATTTTTCCCACATGTTTGCTCAGCTATATCCTTTGCCAGTCCATGCTGTAAGACTTCATGCCCAATATCAATGTGATTCTTTCCCATGGYAAATATGTCCTCTGTCGACACACACCCTTTATTTATTCCATTCCTTTTCCCTATGCACTCTGTGCACTTATTTATTGCTTTTGCCAAGCATTTAACTAATCCAAGAAAGAGATACAGAAAGACTGTACCAAAAACAAAAAAAAAAAAAAAAAAAAAAGCAAACAAAAAAAGCGCCTCCCAAAATAGACTTGATCCTTATGTTTGCTCTCCCTTTCACCAAACTGCCTGCTGGCAAAATTTCACATCCCTGTTCACTGGTATGCTTTTTTTGGCTGCTGGTATCTTGGGAACATCTCAACAGCTGGATTTTGTGCAAATCTATATTCRTATGATCTCATTGTGTTCTCATATATGGCTGTTTCCAAGATGAATRTGCTAAAGAATGTTTTCTCTGATGGTAATCAGTTACTGACTAACTTTTCAGAACATAAACACATTTGCATCATATTCTTTCTTCTACTCTCAAATCTTCTGTCTTCTAAAAATCTACTTTGCAATTTCATGGGTATTGTCACATCCCCCAGATATTTTGTGCTTTTGTTRCCAGTTGTTTTAACCTGCAGCTTCCTTCTGAGTATCTACAAATAACAAAAGTTAGCTGAAGTAATTAACCAAAATGACCAAAAATCTCAGGACAGGTAGTCCTACTGAAAAGCAGAATCCCCACTTGGCAGAAATATGCCTTCTGGCTGCATTTCCCTGCAGTGGAAAAAACTTCTCTCTGATTACARAAACAACCCCTGGAGGATAATTCTAGAGAAAGCACACACTATTTTGTTTAGTTCTCCATGGCTATCAGACCAGCACCTCACTATAGTCAAACATAACACAGTACGCAAAAATATGTGGCAAGTGCCTTAGAGGAACTGAACTGTTCCAGGAGCCTGAGCRCAACTCAGGAGGAGCCTCAAGGAAATGTGCTGTAAAGGGGGTGAGTGGCCTCAGCAAAGGTGGTCTGGAATGGAAATTGCCATATTTTTTACAGTGTGTTGAAGGGAAAACTGTTTCAATGAATGTTCATTGCTTTTTAGTGTGACATAAGGGATGGCAGAGAGAGCTTGCAGAAATCACCCGTGAACAGGCTCCCTTTGCAATACAGAGAATGCATTGTGTGATTCTGCTRACGGAAGGACAGAGGTAAAGGACAAACACATTCAGAAAACAGCAGCCAGCTATTCATAAATATTCTTCTGCTTCCCACTCCCACATCTTCAAAGCACAGAGAACACATAGATAATGTCTCACTTGAAAAATCACAGCCAACCACATCAGCATTTCATATTCAAACACGGGTAAAACTGAGGGTAGACTCACTATTACCTTTTGTAATGTCCCTCTCAAGACCAGTTCATAACAAAATTAAGATTTATGTAAGTTTTCAGYAGGCATAATCAAACTTATTCTCAAAGCAAGGATTCGTAAGAATTGCACTATACTACATAGTGATTTAAACCAAAACACCCAGAAAAACACGGGAACTCCAATTTTCATAGCTAATTTAATTTTTATTATATACAAATGTTAACTTATTCAAACCAACCCTCAAGGCTTTATAAATGCTGAAGTTGTTTGTTCTATGCCTCTTCAAAGTTACCAGCTAAAATCTAGTCACATAATTTCTGTTACTGAGGCTATTTTTGCCTTGCAACTGAACTTACAACCTAACTTGTTATGGAAGTCACCAAGGATGATTATACTTTGAACTCTGAGATAGCATCTCTACAGGCTTACTTTCAGATAGCCAAATAACTTGAGTTTTTGACTGCTAGGGAGGAARTAAATCTGTTCTATTTTGCAGGGGTTTATTTTCAGTGGTTAAAACACTGTCTATCTCAGGCAACAGTCTTWAGGATTAAGTAGGAGGCCTTAGAGGCGTCTCACTTTTTTCTTGCAATAGTTTGAAAAAAGGTAACTCAAATGAATATGAGGAACAATACCAGGAAGGAGATACCTTAAGTCTTTGAACACCAGCCTAGAGGGACCAAAGAGTGATGCTTATCCAGTCAACACCCGGGAACCTGCAAGACAAACAATRTTCAACCAAGATTCTGCTAAAAATCACACATGTTGCCAGGCTGCCATGAGTAGTGCTATTTTTGCACATGATGTTACCAAGATCAATCAATTTTAAAAACCTGCCAAACTGAGAAGAGCTCAGGTGGTTCCTRTGATACTGCAAAACATAAAGCACCACAGACAGTTGCCACCTCCCATAACACTGCCACACATTGTAATGCCCATGAAAGATTTTTCTGCACTCTTCAAAATRAGCACATAATGGGAAAAGCCCTACAAGCTCACAAGATCTACAGATACCATGTTTTCCAATGCTCCTGCTTTGCCTGCCCCAGATTAAATTATACAGGAAAAGAAACAGCACCCCTTCCTCCTCCTTTCTCCCTTCCTTTCATTGCCCCACTTGCTGTATTTACAGGATCCAAAGCTTTTCATTGCATTCCATTGTAGTCTATGTAAATAAATACAAGCGTAAAAAAACCCCAACTTTGGGAAGCCTGGGCCACTTCCAGCTTGCCTGGATAGCTGGGCTCTGCATGGAGCTGGAAGGGTGYTTTTTAAAAGGAGGGAATCAGAAGAGAACAGTTTAAGAATCTTGGCTCAGCCTGGGCATATTTCCGCCTAACTCTGGCTAAACCTCAGCACGAAGGGCTGGATGAGGAGTTGTCGATGTGAAGCCGGGGAGGGAGGGAGGCTGCAGGGCTCTCCAGCACAATTACAGCAGAGCCTGGACAGGCTGAAACCATGCTTTTCCTTTGGGCAGTGGCRTTTGTTCTAGTCCTACAGGAGCAAGATCTTTTAGGTAAGTGACTGAACTTGCAAAGCAGAAATTATAACTTAATCATAGTACAGTCAAAACCCTTGCATAAGGCAGGAGAGAGGCAAATAATTGCTTGCTTTATAGATTTTATGTGGAGGTGACACAGGTATGTGTCAAAATTCTGTGAGCATATTGTTTTTAACAAGAAAAACTCAATTTTTGTGACATTAAATTCTGTTCTGTAGGCATATTGTTTTGGTAGAGATTTTTCCCTTACAGGAGGTATTATCACTCTATCTTCAGAAATTTAGAACCCATTGAGGTGCTGCAGACAATGTCCTGAATTTCCCTAATTACTGTTCTGGCAGCTGTATTAATATCACACTAATCCACATGGAAATGAGATTGAAGATCAAGGCAATTGGAGAAACATTCTCCTTTATTCAAAGCCTTCTTTTTACATCTCCTGGAAACAGCATTACATTTTTATTTCTTCCGTTTTGGATTGCTTATTCCTGAGATTTTGAGGTACATAAAAGCCTTGGGAGTACAAGGTATAAACAGAGAASATCTGATAAGCCTGCATCTGAATTCTACTTCCATTAACAAGAGATTAGTGCTGAATAACTTGTAATCATGTAGTGAGATTGAAAGCTATTCAGTATGGCTAGTTCAAGGGTTTATAGTCCCTGTGTAACCACAAACCTGGCTTCCCAGCCTGTTTGTACTACATCTTTTCTGTTAGCTGAGGCTCAGCTTTATTTTCCCTCTGGTCCTACTTTCTTGACATCACAATGGTTCTATTTCATGGCAGGGTAATAAGATTCTATTACATTCAAAACATTTCCAGAAAAACTGTTAGTCCCTTCTGCCCCCAAATCCTAGTCACTCTTCCTTGCCCTGACGCCCTTCCACCTAGCTGGCTTTGTGATGTTTATCTCAGTGATGAACTGAAATATCAATGCAACAGCAACAGCATTCTAACTTGTTTTCACTCCACAAGAAGTCACTACCCTCTTTTGAGTTTTGCAAGCTTCACCAAAATAATGTGGAATTCAAGAAAAATAAAAAAGGCTTTGTCTATTCCCAAAAAGGTATGATTTTAACCTCAAAACCTTTGTAAACTTAGAATCCAGTTAAATAGAATAACACTTGAATAATAACTGCAGAATAGTACTCAGTATGATGCCAGGTGGTAGCTACTCAGTCAGGGAATCATGTTTACTGTCTTAATGGCATATRCAATTCAAGATGAGAAATTTTGGGTCTATCATGGCCAGGGAGCACCCTGAGTGGCTGACAGGCTTAAGAAAGCAATCCCCCACTTTCCCTCTGCTACCTTCAAGTTGGTGAATCTTTTTTATTCCCTTGCAGATCCTCCCATTTTAACTCCTGCACGTTCTACTTAAAAATTATTCAGCCAAACTAGAATTTACCTTTTAATACAGCCATTAATATAAACAAYCTCATATTCAAAGAGCTCAGCCTCCAAATCACTCAGGAGGAGAGGCTCACTTGGGRGCCCTTCTGGCTGCAACCACGTGCTCCTGCCACAGTTTATAATGCTTAGCTGCTGGTGCTGAGTTAATTTGTGGGTTGCTGCAACATAGCTTAGAGCACCATATACCTGCCCCATTCAAATATGTTTCCATTCTCACAAAAATATCCAAGCAAATTATTCTGAGGGGTGTGGAACCCCAAGAGCAAAGTTTTTGTTCCATGTTTATGCGTGGCAGAGAGGTGACCTGGAGTTCTTGGATAAACAAGTACCTGGCAAGCAGGCTGGCCCCCCTGACGTGAGCCATTAGCTGAGCATGCCAAACGCTGAGCATTCTACCAGAGAGAGCTTCCAGTGGAGGCACTGCTGCTCAAAACTCCACACTGTGGCGTGATTTGCTTTTAAACAGCAGAAGTCAGAAGTTTCATTAGGTTTTAACAACAAGTTAAAGTAATCCAAGTGTATAGATGCTTTTCTTCACTCAGCTAACATGTTCTGAATTCTTAAAATCTTTTGAATCCCCTAATATTCACATGCAATATCAAAGCTGGGAYGATCTATAAGCTAGATCATTATCCAGAATCTGGAAAAAGAAATGCATTCCGAACAGTCAGATTTTACCTCAAATTGACCATTTGCATTCTCACAGAGGCTTTTTTCTCTAGGAGATTAAACCACTGCACCGTAGAATTAAAGCCAGAGTAAAAATTTGTGACAGATATCCTATCTTAGACCAGACTTGAACTCATCTTTCTCTGTTAACAAAGATTTATGGTAGTGGTTTMACTTGTACTCCATGTTATAGGTATTTTCTGTCCTTACAGAAACCTATCAGCATTATTGTCTCCAGTGCAAGGATTACAGTCTTTGCAAAGACCTCTGAGCTCCAACAAGGAAGGAGAAATAAAGTTTGTGACAACAAAGTGTCACAGAAATAGTGTGTTTCTTAAGATTGTGTGGATTTGGAGATGGGTTCAGTACAGAATTGAGGCTTTTACAAAGAGATTTTATAGATCTGTAAAGCCCTGTTTTCTTATGTATAGTTAAAAGGAATTTAAGGTCTGTGGACTCTCTAACTCCCAAGTGTAATACAAAAGTTAAAATCGAACTACCTCCAAAAGAACAGGAGTTTCAAAATACAGGACTCCTGTTGCTCATCTGCAGGATGTGGCTTTATTCATAAAAGCAGTTGATCTGCTCTGGCTGAAGCAGTTATGAGTCCTGAATGCCAGGATCTAATATGTGTATGTATGTGTCTCTCCCCTTTTCTCACTGTTCTACTTCTTGAGTTGTTGCAAAATGCATGAACTACTTGCCAAAAGAAAATATATCTTCAAACAAGTTCTTAGATTTGTTTAGGTATTAGGAAAAAAACCTCAAAATTATATTCTTTCATTGTACTTATTTCTTTCTACTACTATGACCCAGACATACGAAAACTACACAAACACAGAGCTGACTAATAAGTCTCAGACTCACCTCACCCACTGCCCATGACCACAGCTTTGTTATTACTAGAGAGARACTAAAAGCCATGTCCTCAGAAAACTGAAAAACTCTTTCCCGATACCAGTGGTTATCCTCAAATTGATGGTGATTCTATTATTTATGTATCTCACCTCCTCCACTTTCAAGCCAGCCTTAAGCTCACTAATTCTGCAGTAGTTGGGTTCTTTATGTATACACAGTTCCTCTTCTTCCTAAACAGCTTCCCCTTCTCTACACACAAGCATGGCCTCCGCAGCTTCTAGCTATAATACTTCTAACACTTAGCCTTAGTTTCTGTAGCCAATATATATTCATACAAAAATAAATACATAAGACAAACTTTACTGCAGCCCAAAGCATCACTGTAAGATACAGAATGAATTAGAGAAAAGTACCTGCAAATTATGTAGCTCGTGTCTCTTATCAGTCCAATTCCTTGTAGTCATTTTCCATTGTAGCAGTAAGTGCAAGAGGATATTCTCTGGCTGCTTGTTCAGAAGACCAGAATGCTGGAAACATGCTCCAAGCCAACAGCTCCCTCACAGGAACATTTAATTGCTATCATTCTTCCTTTGAATAAAAATACACAAAACTTAAGTGCTTCTTACAATCACAGATATGGTCAAATAGCAGAAAAAGAAAAGTAGTTTTTTGAGTAGCAATTTTGCTTCTGGCACATAGCCATGGAAGGGGCCCAGTTTTTTCTGTGCCTTAAAAAAAAAAACACTCACTGGAAGCACAAACTACTCCTGGCCTTGTGCACTCTCTCTCAGTCTCGCTGTTGGGCAAGTGAGAGATGGATCCCTTTACGAAATGAGAATTACATCAATCACAGTAGCAAAAGCTCCCTCCAAATGAAGTAGTTTTAGACAGAAATCTAACTATCTGGTCAGGAACAATTTCTATGAGTTCCCATTTCCAGTTTTGCATATCTCACAAGTACAAGTAATGCACAGTCAGAGCAGAGCACACTGTGACACAATGTCCCACACAGAAGTGGATGGGACAGGCTACGTAGAGATGTGGTACTTGATCCACCTTTACTAATACATTCTACAACCCGAGATATCCTCTTTGCTCCTTCTCTTTCAGGTAAAAAAGAATTTTAAAAAGTACAATCTTAACTGATGTAGAATCTGAAATAGTAGCATCTTCTGCACCTAGATAGAGTATGAACCAGGTCTGCAATTTTGGAACTTATATGGTTATTTAGCTTCTGAAATTAATATTTTAATGGAAGAAACTTACTTCAGGATGTTTCCCTTATCAGAGGCTCATAAATCTTGGATACCAGAGAAATCCCTTGGATTTTGTTCCATGTTTGAAACCTTTCCAAGACTTGACATTTAGGCAGCAGTTGAAGTATGAAGCAGTTGAATGTATAGATTGCAGATTAACCCCTAATCAGGCATTAAAAACTTTCTATGTACCTTCTTGAAATAAAAACAAAACCAAAACCCAACAAAAAACCAATACAAACCAATCTTCCCACAACCCCTAAATTTCAGATCTTCCTACACTGTTCAGTTTACTGTCTAATATATAATGCCTACGTTCCATGTCCCACTTTGGATAGATCATATTTACCCTGGATGAAATTTGCCTTCTCATTCTGCCATAAAAGCTAGAGCCTAATAAAGGTGCGTGTACATTTAAATATTTATATGTACATATTTGCATGTAAATAAGCAAACCCATGCCTCCAGTGTGTAGCATAGTAACCTATGGCAATGTCTAAGTTGCTAAGAAATTTTGTGTATTCATTACAATTTTTGCAGTCTTTACTGGAATTGCTAAAGGTAAGAATTCCCTTTAAGAAAACAGAGACTAAACTCTAAAAAGAGATTCCAAAGTGTCTAAATCACTGCCAAGCATTAGCATTTTATGGATTACAGCCAGAAAGATAGTCTGTGTTCAGTTAAAGATCCAGTTCTGAGAGGCTAAGAACTCAAAGGGAATCTGTGCCATAAAAACAATTTTCAATACAACACTTGCTATCCAGATCAATTATTGTTTATGTCCTAACAATAAAATTTGATATGGCTTGAGTTATATATGACAGCTTAAAATGAATTTGGGCACTGGTGGTAATGAAAGTAGTGATATAGAAAGTTAATTCAGTGTTTCCATATCCAAGGATGCCAATGTAATTAATTAAGGGCTGAAACTAACAGGAAACTAACTTTGATGCCTTGAAGAACAGCCCCCAAAATTAAATATGACTAACAGTCTTAGCTTAACATAGTCCTCAGTCTGAAAGCAGAAGTACCGATAGTTATTAGTATCAGTTCAGATCCAAAGCAATTGAATATTTCCTTAATTCAGCCTCAAATTATCTTCACCAACCACTTTTGAAAACCACGCAATTTCTTGAAGCTAGCATTGCAAATTTACATGCAAATTTTAAAGTGGAATCCACCACTCATATGTAGAGAAAAAATAATTTAAACGAGGATCAGCAAATCCATTCAGAGGTCTGTTGCATTCCTACCAAACTGGTTAGTGGATTCACCGTTTGAACATGATCCTCCAGTTCATGACCTTCTTCCTGTTGGATCATAAATCATTACTATCACCAGTTCTTTTCTCATCAAAAGCTATCTGGCCACCTTATGCTATATGCTCCAGGAATAAAAGGTTACTGCTAAACCTAAGACAGTGCAAACAAAAATACACAGTACAGCATGTTTTCTTGAAGAGTTAGACATGTTCTCCTTTATTCCCCTTGCTCTATCATATAATTTCAGGCTTCCTTATTTGCCATCTGTTTCCTGTTTCAATCTCACATGTCTTCAACTTGGCTTGTGGCCTGCTTTGTTTTACCCCTACATGAAGTAGAGATGCTGTTGGAGTAAGGTCAGTGCCAAAGGCAGAAGGTGTCTCTTTCTTTCACCAGTTGCAATACAGAGAAGGGCAGTGCTCACAAGCAACATTCCATGCGCTCTCCTTGAGCATATGGAAATTAATACTTTGGCTGAATTGCCTGACCAAAGTGACCCAGATACACGCTGTATTTACAAGGGACCGGATGTGTCCTGTGAACARCCCATCCCAGAGATAAAACTGTGAGTTATGAGCTAAAGCCAGACAACAAAACAACAATGAGTGTTTTGGGCAGCCAAAGCCTCAAGCCAGGACTCAGAAAAAAAGAAATCCACACTGACAAAGCACAGGCTGCCCAGACAGCAACAGCAACCACCCGCCTGAAATACCCTGTTCTAGTGTGGTGGTGAAGGGATATTCCCAAGAGCACAGGCAGCTCTGTTCTGGAGTGAAAGCAGAACATGGACACACAGGTCCTGAAAGGGTTTCTGCTAGCTCAGCCCTCAGCCACTCCATGCTGTGAGGTCTCCAACTAGACATGCTTTGGCTTACACTAACCCTTCGCTTTGCTAACATCAGCTGTCGGGTGCTTTCTGAGACACTTAGGCTTGGCCTGTTTGTCAAGTTCTTAGGCACTGAACTAAATCTGTGGTTCTGAGTGACATCTTACAGCCCTGTTAAACTAGGACAAGACACTTTGTCCTCCTTCAGTATGCCCATTACAGTGCAAATGCAGCAATGTGCTCTGAGTGATGGAAAGCTGACTCCCTCCATGTCAGGAGAGGAACGAACCACCTCAAGGAACCAAGAGCTATGGAGTCCTGTACCTCATAGCAACCCCTTTACTCATTCTCTAGATGCACACAAAGCTGTGCAGTGCTTTGCTAAGCTCACACTGAGGTGCAACAACCTTACATTGGCTATACATATCTATCATGGCACACCTGCTTTGAACAAATGTCAGTAACCCATCATAACTAACCTCCCCACTGACAAACACCTGCCTAGGAATCAGCAGCACAGTTTCAKTATCTCCACACCGTTCCAGTCATGATGAAAATAACACATAAAGAAGCAAAAATTTTGAGAAATAGCATGGTACACTTGACCACTAAGACAGTAACAACACTCATAAACCACTAATGCTAGCAGCAAAGAGGAAAAAAGGGCAAACTGCAAAGCAGCTGGTGTTGAAGTACCTGCTGCATTTCAGCACTCTTCTGTAAACAGGTAGATGAGGTCTTCAGATTCCGTCCTAGCAGCACCACCTTCTGGTGAATGCGCTAAAAAACCCCAACCAAATCAATTTCTAAATAATTCCCAGTAAGTCAGGTCACATTTTAATCCCTCCTCCTCCCTCCAATTCCAAGGATGCCATTCCAACTCAGAGTACATCTCTGATCTCCCGCAAATTGCAATGGTCCTTAGTGACGTGTTTGCCATCACCTGACGCCTCCTCTCCAGAAATCTTGGCACAGGCTTGAGGTGAAGCACTGCAGTAGTTCCAAAGCACTGCTCTGGCACAGCAGTACTGAAGAGAAAACTACTTACTGTTCTTGTGTGKCTACACATGCTCACATGTGTCCATACAAAGTCTTCTCTTTGTTACAATCAATGACAGAATGAGCTGCTGCTGCTTCCTCACTATCATAGCTGCTTCAAGCCTCAAACAACAGCAAGACCTAGCTTTACATGGAGCAAGATACGTTATCACTTTAACACAATTAAAAATATTCTGCTATAGTACTCTGCACACGTATTAAAATTTAAATGTTACTGAATGCTGCACAGAAATMATGAAATTACCTCCACGAAAGCAGAGACACCAGCAGTTACTCACCTTTCATGAAGCCAACAGGATGAAAAGTTCAGAGAGCAAGAGCTCATGAGTACTGAGAGGTAAACACAGATATCTGACAAAGATATGTGACTTTGTATACAGCAGCATACACAAGAGGCTTGGTCAGCAAATGATGTCAGCTGTAGACTTTCATTGCAAAGTCAGACTGTTAGGGACAACTTTCTGGCACAGAGGAATCATCAGCCATCATCAGCATTCATTTGAAAAGCAGATAAGGTTACCTACTCTTCAAAGCTTTACCATACCAGCAGCTTCTGAAGAAAGTCTAAGAGGAGCTGTTGTGTAAGGCAGATCTTCCCAGCAGCTAGGTATTACACTTACAGAGACAGAGGTACAACCTATAAACCCACCCTACACAGGTAGGAAAAAACAGATTGTGTAAAACAAACACACACATATGCAAAACAAAAAAAAAACTACCCATGGTAAGAGAAAACACTTTGTTACAACCAATGTGATGTGTGCAGGCAAGGAGACATTCACAGCATTGGGGCACAGCTGCAGTTATTGGAAAAGAGGTTCAATTCCTGTATTTGGTTCATAAACAATGCCACACAGCATGCAAAAACCACTTCAGAAATCAGAAAGGCAAGGACTGCCATTAAAAATCTCCTGCTAATTTACTGTGTCTGTTTTTCCAGCTGCTGCAGACCCTGTCAGTATGGTACCTGGAAGTTTAGAAGGAGAAAGCTGGTGTAATGAACAGATGATCCATGAACGCTTAGATATTATTGAAGAGGTAAGAGGGATTGAGTGGCTACTGAATCTTACCCGACCTCTGCCCTATCCTTTGATCCAAGAATGCTTCTAGACTATGTCCCTTCTTGACTTTATTCTAGTCAAGGCTGGACTACTTTTTTTCAGATGTTCATCACTCGTAACTATCCATAAAGCCATTATCACCAGAAATACATAATCTCAATGAATTCCAAAGAAGGGATTAACCAATCTCTATTTTATATTAGCCTTTTTAAAAATGTTTACAACTGCACCTTTAATCTAACAACCTCAGAATTTATATTTGTAGCTTCACATTGACTTACAGCTAGATATGTTCTGCAGGTGACTCCAAGACTGATGGAGTAGTTTTTGCTCATCCCTGCTGAGACTTAAGAGCTAAATGAGCTCTATAACTGGGATTCTAGGGAAGTTGKAAATTTTGAATTTTTCCCTTGGTGTCCTACGCACTCACAAGATACATTCTCAGCTGGGGAGTTCCCAAACTCCATGCTGTGGTTCTCCAATGGCAACATTACATCTCTTCTACTCTAGTCCCAGGCTTCTTTCCACCTCATCAGCTCCTCTCATCTTCCATGCAGATTCTTTTATTGGATATAACAGTGGCTCAGAAAGGAGAAAGAATTAAAAATAAATTTATGCAAAGCTCCCGTCAAGAAGTCAAATGATGAGTTATTTTTTACACAGGGGTGCTATAAGGAAACTCTTGCAAAACAAAGTGCTAATATTTGGTGCCACTAGAGGACAGCAGAACACCAGAAATGTCTAAACCTGCAATGCGCAATRTAGACTAAATGAGCTGTTAGCATTACGGGACATTAGGTTTGCATTTCTGCAAACACATGTSGTGCAATTCCTTTCACTTGACCCTTTGATTACCTCCTTTCTCCCTTGTTTCCATTAGAAGGTAATAAAAACAGTGGAGCACCTAGAATCAGAAGTCAAATCACTTCTCAACATCATCAGTGAGACAGCATCGAATATCCCCACCGTTCCAGGAACTCCACTCATAGACATTCTTGATGGTCAGTRTCTGGTCGGGTATAACCTAAGTTGATAAAGTGTTACATGTGTAACTAAATGTGTTACATATGTTACTAAACACTAAATATTCTGCCCCAAGATCTGAACCAATTGCTTCATTCAGCTCAGGGTAGCAAAGGCCTCAGAATTGGGGGCCTCAGGACTCCAACTCTAGATCCAAAAAAAATCAGGTACCAACAACCACTAAAGAGAGGGCTGGGAGAAAAGGAAGCAACCCACCTTAGAATGGCAGGATAGATGAAGTTATCTCAAGGTCCCTTTCAGTTTCAAGATCCTCTGATTCTTTAGCTCCATGTGTGACAAAGTAAGAGAGGGCAACAAAATAAAAAAAATTGGAGGTATTACCATTCTGATATATTAAATACAACTTTGACACGTAAGCCCCTCACACAAAGTGTGCTTCTGGATAAATGCTTTTGGAATATATCAAACACAACAGAAATTAATTGGATAAGACCACCTGTTCTACACACCTTCTTAAAATGCTCTATGCTCTTCATTCTCTGCCCAAACATAAGCAGTGCTTTCAACAAGGTGAGACACTCGTGGTAGAAAAGAAACCACTTGTGGAAAGATATAAATGTACACAGACATGTTTATGAGGTCAGTTTGGTCAGTGCTGGGCTGCTTGTTTGTTTAAAATAGCTACACACTGCACACTACACTACACTAGTGCACTTACATGATAGAAATAGGCTCAAAGTAGACAGCAGTAGAGTTTATGCCTGGTTTTGGTTCTTGCAATTGGCTGTATGTATCTGGTCACCATGACTGACAATGTCCTCACCAACTTTGTTATCCACTGAAGTTTCCAGTTTTCTGTGARGGGCAGTTAACAGGTTAACAATTAAGTTACTCCCCTGCAATGAAAAAGGGTATTCCAGTAAAACTGAAAAGTATTCCAGTAAAGTGTTTCAGTGAATTTAAAACAGAAATCCTGAGTCAACCTCAGCACATTTACAGCACATCTATAGCAAGTCTCACTCAGGTGATCTTGCAACAACTACCAGATTGGAAATTCCTTCTATGATTTTGTGAATCAAAGTGACAGTTCCCCACTTTAGAGTAGCAGGATTCATGTTTTAAACAAGATTTATGAACAAAAATTGATCCTAATGACATAAGCAAAAATAATTACATTAGCTCTTCTCTACACAGACACCAGCTGAGCACTGCGAAGACAGAAGACMGCTGAATGCAACAGTGTGGTTGTCAGTTGCACTTCTGATCATTTAATAAGCTTGTGTTTCCAGGATTTGTGCAGGGATGAACAATCCTCAGCTGTAGTTTGTCTTCTGTGTTGTTGTGCTTGTAATAAAAAGGCTTTTAGACACTGCTTCAAACTTGGTATTCTAAATCTTTCMGCAGCCCAACTTCATCAAAACTGCATTTCAAATACAACGTTGTCATTAAGAAAAAGGACCAGGTGGTGTCCAGGACTAAAGSACAGATAACAAACTTMTCTTAATTTCACAAACTTCCTCYGTCCCTGGAAAAGAAGTCAACTCTTGCTATTGRTATCAACCAATATAGATACACTTCCAGGTGCAAAACTCCCCTCAAGACATGCTCAGATTTAGACAGGAATGAGTGTATGATCTGCCTTTGGACACAGGACACATTACTGCCATTGACCAAAATGGGAGTCTTGTCAGCAAGTCCCGATCACAATCCATTATTTGGACACACAGCTACCATATTCTGTAATCTTTACATTCCTTTGCCCTGCCATGGTTACTGTGCAATCCAGAATTAAGTCCAGGACATTGCCATTTTCTTTCAAGACAGCAATACAACAAGCAGCAATACAACTTTTAAGAAAATAGGACCTCCCTGACCCTTACACAACAGAGGGAGCACACTTATATGCATGTGAAGTAAGAGCAGTTTGCACCTTCTTACTTAAGAAGCAGTCTATTTTCACTGACCTAGTTATTAATAAACCTTGCCCTCTCTTTGTACTTTTTACCTTTACATGTTTTTATTTTGACAACAACAAGCTGAAGAGATGTCACCCATGCATGCCAGCAGGGAATAAAAATTCAGACTTCCAAGAGTAAGAGAAATTACAACATCCATAGTGAAAATACTGAACAATAACTATGGATTACACATCATGTACGGACTATTGCAAATCAACAGCACACAACCCCCAAACTCTTAYCAACACAGCAATTTCTGAATAATCCTGTGGAAGAAAACTTCCAYGGAAAAACTAAGTTATCACTCACATATACATCAACATGAACACCAAAAAGCACAGTATGCAAAGACTTAGCTTTAATTTCATCATGTCTTCTTACATACATATATTTAAGGCACAGTCRAAAACCTTTAAACATTAATGATAGAATCTTTGCTACTGTCAACATTACTACACCTTGTGACGGTCTGCCTTAGCAAGAATGAAATGTGGAACACCTCTTCATTGAAAAGAATCAAGGACAGAAAACAGAACTCGACAAAACTTCTTCAAAACACTTAACTAGACACAAGCCTTCAAGGCTGCTATCTCCACACATCAGGAAGTGAGATAGSCTGAAACCAACTCAACATTTAATATATATAAAACTTGCATTAAAATGGCACTCAACGTTTATACAAAACACCACCTTAAATCATACAACAGTGATTTTTGTTTCATAAAACAAGCATTATTCCAACATGATACAAGCAGAAAAGAAAATGACCTGTCATTCACGGATTGCTGAGGGTGCTATACAGAATCCTAAGCAGATGGCACATAAGCTTGGTATTTTGGGGGGTTTTGGCATTTATTATTGAACTACTATTTTTGAACTGAAGATATATGCAGTAYTATCTTTTAAAATGCAATTGCTTTAGAAGAAACAGGTCATTACATATTTACTTATGGAGAAAATAAAAAGACGCTTTGCAGCAAATACATGAAAACAGCAGCTTTTTAAAGCAAAGCTCAATGCTCCATTTAGTCATTTCCACCACACAACTTGAGTAGGATTTTCCGGTAGTCTCCCGAAGTATCACCCTGAAAGGGAACACAGAAAAAGGAAAGTTGAAGAACAACCAAAGGAGAAGAAGCCACAACTGAAGAACTAAGAACTTTCTTAGCAGGGATGTTTTTGGCTCTACTTTTACAGAAACAAGCAGCAGAGTTTATGTATATCTAACTGTGCACATGCATATTTACTGAAGGCAGGTTTTGACCAAGTTCAGTCCATTAAAATAAGTATGGCCTGTTCTATTTCTGAATAACAACTTTTAATGCCAGATCAAAAGGGGAATCGCRGGAGGAAGCAATACAGAGTTTTTCCACCAATGTCTCACTGCTTTTTACTCATACACTTGTGGTTACAGGACAAGCAACTACTGTAGAAAAAACGTTTGGTATGCACTATCCTTCAGAATCTTTACAGGARTCCTTCCAAACACCACCAAGTTACAGCCCCTCAGTGGCCACAGCAGAAGGAATAAACAGGGGCTTAACAGATTTGCCACCCTCATTACCAGGTAAAATAAAGTGGCACCACTCACTCTACTCCAGCTCTTACTACCCTAGCATTGGCCAGGCATCCTCTTGACTGTTGCTACAGCTCTTAACAGCAGTAGGAAGGTGGATCAACTGCTAAAGAATCTGAAGTTTAGTCTATTAGTGAAAACTTTACTTTCAAGAAAAAGCGAAAGCAATCCCTGAGAAGATTTTTAGAAGCTTTATATTCTTCCAACACACAGATGAAGTAGAACACCACTGTTACTCAGGAGGACTGAGTGATTCCCACAAGATCATATAAAGAGATTGGGATAGAAGGGTCTCTCAAACCCCTCTGCACCAAATTCCCTCCCCTCCACATCACTAGCTCATCTAGCCCACATGCAAACCCAAGTGCTGTCAATCCTCTGTCCGTCCATGCTCCTGGAAAATGCAGCAAACCAACACAGCCAGCTAAACTCAGTGCAGCTAAYAGCTGATCAGCACAAGGATCTGTGTTCTGCCAGCATAAAGGCTGTCATGGCAGGGAAGATAAAACTCCAGKTCTTACAGTGATATCTGTGTAGAGAGATCTGCCATACATCCGCTTGTACTCTGCACGTATGTCCAGCAGGTCAATCTCGCTGCGCGATACCATGATCCGGATCAGAGTCCTGTCCTTTGTTCCCGCTCCCTGAAACAAACAAAACAGCAGCATAATCTAKTGAAGAGCTCTGTAATACAGCAATACTAAAAAAATAAATGCCTGTTTACTAGCATAACCACACTGACTTCAATCAGCTTCAACGGAATTTGGCCTATCATGCTTTAAGAAATTAAATTTAGTGGTAGGACAATAAGTAATTTCTCCACACAAGAACAACTCAAAAGAAAAAAGGGGGATTGAWAGAGGTACAGGGGATCAGGAAAATTTATTTCTTTCTGCTAGACTTCTCTACTTTAAAAGTATCARTTTCAATGAGTTTTAAGCATATTTGTGTTTTACCAAGTGAAGACTTTTAGTTTTTGTTTGCTTGTATTCATTTCTCTGTTAAGTTGGATCAAATTAGCGAGATTTTTCCAGCCTTTCATAATAATGACTRCATCCTGTTAGTCATCTGCCCACTGAAAAATGTAAGCTGAACAGTTCCTTCCCAAGAGCTGTACAAGCATTTAAAAAAACCTCACACAATAAGTTTATGTAACTTGTCACAGACACTTACCTTCATTGCTTTATGCAATCTCTCAGCAAAAAAGGCTGGCGTGTTCTTGAGACACTTAACTGCAAAAAGGAACAGAAATCAGGCATTCCTCCTCAACCAGAACTCAGTAATTTTTGAGTTTATCCTACATAGTCACATGCTTTAATTTTACACAAACACACACGTGATATAATGCAGCTTCCACTCCTTCCATTAGTCACTAAAACTATTTTTAATCCAAACAGTAGCTGCAATACAGCCAAAGAACCTACACTTCATGGCTCAAAACMAATGTTTCTGTCCCTAGAAACCACCTAGTGTGAAGCAGCCATAATGAACCTYTGTGTTCTAATAACCAGATTCTTGTTTATGAAGGGAAAGGAGAGGGCTGGGAGACAGCAGAAGACTTAAAGGAACACACAGGTAGTGGTGTTCCTAGGTTCTTAACTCCAAATGTTTAGGCCATRCATCTGCAAGGTGTGACAAATTCAACTCCTGCCCTAGTGCAAACTGGGAAGCCACCTATGATAGCAGAGAATCTTAGGTGCTTCCTTCTCCTTCAGGGCGAGTCATCACAATTCTTATTTTAAGCTCTTATTTTAGCCACAGAGTTCATCGGGACTCCTGAAAAATTTTTAACATGCTCATTTAGTAATGACTGGATGCTATATTTAATTAGCAGAGTTCATTAGAAAATTGAAAGAGCAAAATCTAAATCAAATTACTGTCATGTTAATCAAGATAATGAAAGAATCATACATCACTGTTCATAGAATCTGTATGTTGATGCAATGTTGGTTACAAGTGAACAATCATGCAAACTGTGGCAAACTACAGAGAAAACAGACCACACTTGACATTTAATAGCACAGTAAGATATCAAAATCAATCACATAGAATCAATACAGAACTGAAGGTGTAAACCTAGATATGTATTTCATAGCAACACACATTCTGTATAAGTACTTTTCTGAGCAGGAAAATGTAGATGAGAGAGAGCAGTTCACCACACAACTGTCAATGATATGTGCAATACTGTTCAAAAAAAATGACAAAATGAAATGCATGTTTCTGTATCACTGTATTTAGCTAACACAACACACTTGCATTCTAAGATGTTTAAAGATGTTGTAAATTACCAGTTGTACAATCCAGACAGCTTTAAAAAAAGCAAAATTAAATATTTTCAATTAGAAAACCCTTTTTCCCTGCAAATAAGGTTCATAGAACAAATGATGTTAATATTATTCAATGATATAGGTATATGTGTATATACATATAAATAAAAAAAACCCACAGAATCTATTTAATAAAGGGAGTTAATCAKTGAATATTAATGGCAAGCCTTGCTCAAAAGGCTATTGACTTGTTTGCAAGCTACAGCCTCAGTTTTGATTTGGATCTACATGGAGACCTGTCAAGKCTCTATGAAACTCCATGAAGTCAAATGGCTTCTAAACTCTGAGCAGTTTCTTTACCAAGGCAACAACACTGGGAAATATCTCTCTTCCCTAACCTTGGTTTTCTAACAATACTTTCTGAGGTGGAAAAGTTTGAATCCTGGGAAAGGTCTGCAAAYGAATCAGACACAGTGAGCTAGATCCAGTTTGGGTCATTAGAAGATCAGAACAGTGACAGTGTGGCCATGTAGAATAAGAACAGTAGTTACATAATTCACATATTCATAAGACAGGAGTGAAAAAAAAAGAGGCTTTTAAAATTGACTTCCATTTTGCAAGATTTTGTTACAAATTTCAATGAAAACAATCTGTTGTGGTTGAACCAAATATCCTGTCYGATCTCATTTACAAGTGATGCAAAGTTCATTTTTCCTATTTTGGTGAGAGTTATTTGGGTTTTGTGTATGTGGTTGTTTGAGGGGCTTTTTTTCACTTTTAAAGCAGGAGCTCTGGATACAGTAGTGTATTTACAGCAATAAACAGAAAAAGAAATGGAGATGTAAAGACAAATAACAGAAAAGTGGCTCACAATTACATCTATAATAAAGCATTTCAAATAAAACTAGTGCTCAACAATTAGAGGCCTTGTCCCAGACTCATGGAAATGAGTGACTACCTATGAAGCAACAACAGTAAACTGAGGTAAGAGTTTTCACTCCTCAGAAGTACTGGGGGCCATTAAAAACAAAGATTTAACAGAACTGTAACCACAGGAAGTGTGGAAATACAACTCCTCTGCAATCAAATTTAATTTTTCTTTCTACTAAACAGAGGTAGAGGGTTAATGCCTGTTTTTTTGCTGGATTTCCAAAACTGTCCCAAATACTCCATTCTCACTGACTCAGCAACTGGTACAAGTTTGCTTCAGTTCTTAAAACAATGCAATTAGTTAATAATACTTTCCCAATTTTAACACATGAAATTTAAATTCTGCAGTTGCCTGAAATAAAAAAGGTTCATCTGTCATTTTGAGGAGAATTCAGTGCCCACTTTACTAATCACAAATGACTTCACTGAAAGCTCAACATAAAAAAGCACAAAACTGGAATTATTAGTAGTAAGAACATCCTCAGCAGGAGTCACAGACTCCATCTGAGCCAGTTGTAGCAGAACAGCAGGAATGAACTTGCTAAGGTGGCACATACCTACTGCCAGCATGCCCTTTTCCAGGTCTCCAGACATCTCACTACAAATGCTYTTTTCAATGTCCCGGTTACACATCCTCTGGTACTCGCTGAAGACTGTTCATGGAAAAGAAAAATTTAAGAGTCAGCTCTGCAAAAAAAGGTGGTGCTGGAATGTGCTGGATGGCTTCATTTCAATGGCACTTCTCAGCTGGATACTACAGTGTACTCACACAAGTTTTAACATCTCAAGGACTTATACTGTGTTATCAATCGTTTACATGTTTCATGCTCCTTCTAGCTTCAACAGATCTATCCTTCTAGTAAAAGGGCTAGACCAAGAAACAGCTGTAAGGGAAAGAGTGGTAATTCTTCTAGGAAAGCTTTGGGTCTCAATAAAATTTTAAATAAAATATTCAGAAACATGCCTCTTTCCTCCATRTAAGTACCGTGTACCCCAACAATTGTAAAAGTTCTATGCAGTTATTAAAACATTTCCATCAYGACAGACTGATACAACACATTACACTAGCAAGAAAAAGGGGAAGGATTGCCAGCATCTTGCACACACAAGTATGCAAGACTGAAACAATTCTAGTTTYTCAATTCTTTAATCAGAGGAACATTTGAACAAGTATGACCTCTACCTGCTATTTAAGGAAGATGACTTCTTTTCATCAGCAGAATTCACCCTGCTTTTCATTGATATCTCACKGGGCTCATTTTACAGATGGAGGAAATTCAGGCACAGAGCAGTGCTGTACATTTTTATCATTACACACAGCAGAATCAAGTTACTGTTTATGTAGGACACCATTACCTGCTCTAAGGTGGGCCCTGCTTCTTGCACACAGAATGGCATTGAACTTGGATTCATCCGTTCCTAGACGGTTCTCACCAGCTGCATACAGCTCCTGAACACAGAAGAGAATTCACACTTCATTACTCAGACAAGTAGTCAGTCTGAACAGCGGAGTTACAGATTTGCTTCCTTACAGCCTCKCCTCCTTCTGTAATTATTTCTTAGCCTATGTATTATTGCAAAACAGGAGCAAGCAATAAATAACTACTATTTCGAACCTTCCTTTAATAGTGTGTTATCCTTGCAGTCTTTGTAGTTTGCAGATGCATACGTGCTCAAACACAAGAGCTCCAGATTACTAAAGGAGGGGTTATTGTTCAAAATGTACCTGAATATTGCTCTTCCTGACAGTCCTTACATCTAGCTTTTTTTCTACACTTCTCAGTGTGTTCTGGGACATTCCTCTTTTGGCTAAAGTATATTATGTAGAAAGCTAATTCCACTGCTATTTAGATGACACTAGTATGCTAAAATGATCCTAGCTTTTACCTCTGTGATGAAATGGAACATACAGAAAAAGAAATGGGACAAGCATTACTAATTCCAAGTGCCTTGTTTGCTGCAAAAATCCAGACTTACTTATACAAACACAAAGGCTAATACAGGTGTTGAATAGATTAAAATTTAATCCACAAACATATAATCTCAAATCTTTTTGGACAATATCCTTAGTAAGCAGCACAATGGAGTCATCCAACACTTGGAAAAGCCAAAGTCCTGACAGAACAGGAGGTAAAATATTCTATGGACTGTATTCCCTAAAGCTTCATTTCTGTATTGCACCTACATGGCTCTAACACTCTGTCATACCTTTTTATATCACTTCTATCCACTGAAACGTAAGCACTACATCAGAAGTCACAAGGTGTCCAAAAGTAACAGTAAGCAGAATCCACACAGCCAAATTTCAGCATATTGAGTTGACCATACCAAGAAATGATGAAGCATTTTTACTGACCTGCACATCTCTTTGGACAACAGACATGTCAACATTTGTGCTTTCATCTCTGTTTCCCTGAAAGAATCAGAAGGTCCAGAAGTGTTACTGATAGGCTTTGATGGGCTGCTTTTTAAAAAATTTAAGAAAAAAAACCCAAAACCCCAATCAAAACCAAACCAAACAAACACACCACACACAAACACACAAAAAACAAATTCCAAAATCCCAGCAAGCAAGTACCTGAGCAAGTGAAATTAATAGCCTCTGAAAGTGTCCAGATGTGTCACTTCTTATTGCTTCCTCCAAAGTTTTCTTATATTCTAGAAAAGAGGCAGAGTCATGAATCCTCATATAACCCTGCTCATTTTCTAAATTCATACTATCAGTCAATGATTAAGTAAGAAAAGGAAGMAAATTTTGGTGCAACAAATCTAACCTGCTTTGTAGACCCTGCTGAGTTCCTGAATATGCTCATTACTGCGGGAAGCTAAGATTTCAATGAGACAATTTTCATCTGTGCCAACACCCTAAAACAAGCAAAAGAGAAACAGATTTCAGAATCTTGTCTTATTTCCACAACACAGTATAAAAGAAATGTAATAGAATTTTATAGGGAAAAAAATCAGAATATAACCTTGTATAGGAAGTCAAGCAATGGCAACCAAACATGTTATCAGTAGAACTATTTCCTCTATCTTACAAATTTATACTCCTACACAAACCTGTATAGCTTCCTTGATTTCATAAGCATCAAACATGACAGGTGTCTTCATCATTGCCAAGATTGTCCTCTCAAAGTTACCTGATAGCTCAGACTTCAGATCCTTGATCAAATCCTAATGAGAAGAAAAAACAAGGAAAAAATGCACTAAGACCAAACTTGACAAAAGCAAGCATCAAAAATATGCATTTTGCTTAGAATTCTTTATGCATAAGCACCAGTAATACATGTTCAAAGTAAAGCTATTCCATTTAATACCAAAACCAGCATAATGGAATGTGTACACTGAGGTCATTAAGGTCCAATTAAACAGACTGCACAGATTAAAGAGTCAAAGTAAGCATTTAGCAGAGAATTTTTTTGCATATTTCATCGGAAACACCAYGTGAAGAAGTCAAATGCAGGTAAAAAGTAGAACCGTGAAATGGCTGTGACTTAAGAACCATCTTCCCCCTAAAGAACCATCCAATCTTTTTTCCCGCCACTAAGTTTTCTGACTTCCACGGAAGGAATTAAGCTCTTTTTTCTTCTTCCTCTGYTCTCATGATATATTTACCTTTCCATAAGCTGTTTTGAAGGACAGGATTATCTGCTGCCGTTGCTTGTTTGAACGACTTCCAAGACAATCGATGATGGCCTGCTCATCGGTTCCTGCACATGCACACAAACACCACAGAATGAGCATCACCTCATGTGAGGACTCAGTTTTCTGTCTCCATTTCATTCTACCTCTTCTAAACCCAGCAGAAAGACATGTACGCCTTTAATTCATCTACAGTATCYACTCTTGTGTAAAACCACAGAATATTGAACTCTACTCCCAATCACAAACACAGTAAAAATATACAGAAAACCTAAACCAAACTCATGATGTTGTTTATGCCTACATGAACTTCCACTTCTGATAACTGAAGACAAACATATGTGAACTATCCCACTTAGTATACATATAGCAAGAGAAGAAGATCAGTTCTGAACTGAAATGCAATTCTACTTTTAACTGAAATGTAAATCCTCAGACTGCTCACCGAATCCCTTCATGGCCTTCCTTAAGACTTCTGCATCCCTCAGAGGATCAAACCCCGGTGCATCAGTGATGGTACCTCGGTTTCCATGCTAACATGAGATCAACAGTGTTAAACAGTATCAGTGTTAACAGCGTATTAGTGTTAAACAGTAAAATACTGGGGTTTACGACTTAGGAAAGATGACCACTGTTACCAGTTTTCTTTTTGTTAGTAAAGTAATAGAGAAAACTCAACCCAACCCTGACTTAAGCAATTTGTTCATTTCTAGACACAAATCACAAGAAAATGCAAGGTCAAGAAAGTTTGCTGATATTAAATCTGCTTTCCAATTAATTAAGTTTTGATGACACTGCATATATGACTGGCAATACTTGCTAAACTTAGGAAAGGCAAGAATAATTTGAATTCATGTCAAGTGAATTCTTGGATACCATGGTAAAACATAATTTGTTCCAAGACATATGAGCCTATACTGCTTGCATTTGAAAAAGCTCCATCTTTCTCTTCACTCAARCTTCTTTTCAAAACGTTCTTTTCAATTTTACAATCAGCTTTACACTAATACACACAAAGAAAATGTAGAGGAATGTATATACAGCTCAACCTTCACACCTCAAAACAAAAGCAGTGAATGCTCTTACTGTTACAGTAGTGACTGCAGGCCCTGTAGTTCCTGAGTAAGAGGGCATTGATGGATTCACTGATGGACCTGGTGGATAATTTGGCATGGGCTGCTGCCCTGGGTAAGTTGCTGGAGGTCCTGGATAGTTCATAGGCTGCTGACCAGGCGRTGGTGTGGGCTGGCCTGGCACAGGGCCGCCTGGGTATGCTGGGTAAGCTGGCATTCCTGATGGTGGATTTCCTCCAGGAGGAGGATAYCCTCCGTAAGAGGGCTGCTGTCCTGGCGGAGGCTGCCCAAAGCCACCCGGAGGAACTGGTGGGTAACCCCCAGGTGTGGAAGGATACATGCCTTGAGGAACATTTGCCCCTCCAAAGGTCCCTGCCAGGCTGGATGCCTGCAATGACAGCAATAAAGAGACAGGAAGGGGTACAAACAGCTGAGTTTCAGTACCATGCTTAACACAATACAACCTCCCTCCCGCTGACACACATAGATAGCTCCTCATTTGCMAAAGACAGCAAGAAGGACAGAAAAATCTGCCTAAAAACTTACACCAAATAATCCTTTCTTTGTCCACGGCTGCCTTGCGTGCTCACAGCATTACTTGGGTGCAAGAATTTTACTCTGAGCAACCTCTGGCTGTTTATGTGTTAGTAGCTAGGAGTTCCTGGACTACATTTAGAAAGACTTCTGCAGAAACTGCAACMAAGATACTCCACATCAAAATCTTACCACTTGAACTCCTCTTCTACAGAGGAACCAGAAGTGCCATTTGGTGATTGCAGCACTATCAGAAAATAGTTGCTGTGGATTTTGCTRTGTGCACCCTAGATAGTTTGTTGCTCAATTTGCCTGCCAAATCATTTCATTTAATCACTGCCTCAGAAAGACATCTATAATGCAAATGTCTTCCTACAAACTGCATTTGTTATGCAGCATAACAGATTTCTGAAGACTAAAGTTGTCAGAAGTGTCACTCACTTCTGCTCAATGAAAAAAAATCACATTGGAGATGTCTACATTTTCTTCAGTCAATGTAAAAGGTTTTTATTTCCATCTGTTAAACATCAGTGCTTATAAGAGACTGTTGAGCCCATATCCTTTTTAAGGACAAATCACTGATACCGCTAATTGCACAGCCTTTTTCCTTACTCTGACTGGTCAAAATCCAGGTAATAAGCAAAATCCAGACTGTGTTTTCCCATGTGAATATATTAACAATAAATAATAAACGTTRATAGTTCCCTATTCCTCTAGACAGCAAATGCCAAGTTATATTGGTCTTATGTACACAACTTTTGAAGTTAGACTGTTTACAACATTTAACTAGTGCTCTGTTTTCCTAAGAAAATTTCCTRAGAAATAGCTTGCAATAACCATTTTCAATAGGCAATACTGAATGCTCAACACCTGAACAGATTAGACATAAAGGCACAGAATTCAAGTGATGAATCTCTCAGTGACATGCCAGAAACACAACTTTGCAGTTAAGGACATCACAGTGAAACACATTGAATGAAAGCAAACTCACCATTCCAGCCATATGGCTGGGATTGAACTGGTTGGCATAGCCAGCCACATTTTCCAGACCAATTGGAGGTGGATTTGAAGGTGGATAGGCAGCACCACCCCAAGGATTGCTACCTGAAATCAAACACAGATATGCTGAAACAAGAAACTACGCTTTTTAAAGTTCTTACTACTTAACTGTCTAATGTAATATTTTCAACATACCAGGAAAATCAGCTGAAGAGGTACAGGGTAGTAGTGCAATTACTATAAAAAAGAAGCCTCATTGGATATTTCTAATCATGTTCATTATCACTGAATCTGTAAGCTTTCACTTAAAACAACTCTAAACCTATTAGAAAGTTAGCACTCAGGACTTAATACAGTTAATACTGTATTTTGACTTGAGAGCACTTAGAGTAYGAAGTTGTCTGGGTATTTCAGCAGCAAGGTATTATTAATTCCATTTACCTTGCTATTTGAGAGATGTCGACAGAGCACAACAGCACATTCACAAACACCCAAGTCATAAAATTTATCTGAACACAGCAGTGTGATCTACCTTAAGCCAGAATACTYTGCTGAGAAATAGGCTTTATCCTCCTAGCCAGTTTGGTTTCTCACTGTACACTGCTTCCCCTTCGTGAGTTAGCTTGCCAAACTCCACATTTCACTATACCTGCATGACTCCAGTCCCTTCTTTCCACCTTTCAACAATACTAACAACTGCAAAGTTCAGCTTGATAAACAAGCAGTGGTTGTGTATTTCATCAGCTTTATATTATTATAATTGCTACCCTTTTTAATAGCTCTCTCCCTTCTGTATGCAACCACCTGCCTAAGAGTAGTGAATTCAGAATAATTTCCCATTTCTTTGTGGGATACGGTTTTAAGCTGTATGACTGATTTCTCCYGTACTCATCTGTCTCACCTTGAAAACTCAGTATTGACCAGACACTGACCCTTGTCATTTATCTGATTTGGTCAAATTAAGACCATCTCCTAATGCTCTGTGCTTTATTCAAGATGAATGAAACTGGACCCCATTGCATGAGCACATGGCAGAGCACATAYATTAGACAAATCAGAATCCCCAGCCCAGCTAAAACAGGACGTAAGACAATACAGAAAGCTTTGGTGAGTCAAGGAAACCCTCTGTAGTCTTGTTCTTCATCCATGCCACCTCTCCAGTCCAGATAGGACCACCACTGTATTTAATGTTTACTTCATCTGAACAACTTACCTGGGGCAGCTGGTGGATATCCACCTGCTGGAGGATAGCCAGGGTAACTCATTGCAAAGATCTGAAATGAATGTGTGACACAGTTATTTTCTGTAATGCTTCATTCATTGCACCACTGTAACACTAGAAGTCAACACGTATGCAGTAGCCAGTTTCTGAAACTTAGACATAACCCGCGCCAGCTTTTCCCTGAGAAACCTCTTCCCATTTCTTTTTTCTGGACTAATATACATTCAGRTAGCTAAGCAGTTGTAGAGTCACTCCTCACATTATTTTTCTCATTTGTTACAGTTGCTACTTACTGCTTACTTTGTCTATCATATTGTTAGGGATGTATTACTTGAACATGCTTCTTTTACTGTGCTATTAAAATCTCCAGAAATTTCCAGCCTATACAGAACTATCTTATCAATCAAGAGAAGAAAATCATCTGAMAAAGAAGCTACGTCTTCAAGTGAGMAACTATAAGTAGTTGTTAAAAGGCACCTAAATGCAAACATCTGCAGAAGTGCAAGGTCAGARTAAGCAGAGACAGGATACACCTTAGTGCTTACAGCATTGTCATAAAATATGAAGGGTTTACTGATAGGATAAGATCACTAGAACAAATTGGGTCTCTCAAAATGGAGAGTGCCTCTGTCAGCACAAAAGTGAACAAAGTCATTAGCTGTCCAAAATAGAACTGAAGGTCAAAATGGAAGAACAGCTAAACAAAGGACAAAATGAAAACTGGCTTCCAGAATCTAACAGCTTTATTTTAAACAGAACAACTGCCAGGAGGAATGGTAAAAGTAACTATGAAGAAAATATTCATAATGAATGTTAACTTTTTGAAGGTCATTTTTAATGACAAGTCGCAGTCTATTTTTAGAACCAGTGTGTAAATTATCCCCCAGGGTTTTTTTTCCCCTCTTTCCCCTATGCACTACCTTTTGAATCTGGCATGTTTTGCTGTGTTTTGAATTTTAGTTGTGGAATTTTGTTTTTGATTTGGTTTGAGTTGGCAGGGGTGCTGTTCTTGTGAAATTGTTTTCATTTTGCATGAAACACTTTCTGGTTTGCATGGCACTTGCATAGCAACAGTGAAATAGAGAAACACGTTTTTTGTGGGATTTTTTTAATAAGGAAATACAATTATTACCATGTCATTCCGATGGAAAAAAAAAACCCACAACTTAGATTCTTAGCATGCATGATGCCAATGTATGCATTTAAAATACAAATTATTACAGCACTGGAATTAGTTTTATTTCTTCAGGTACAACMATAATTATATTTTCATTTCTTTTACAAGTTTCACATATAAATACAATACAGATAGGGTATTAAAAAAATTGTAAGATGCCTTTTCAATAAAGCTTTAGGTATAAAATTAAGGCAAAAAGCCTTTTCTTTTGTGGTAGAGGGTGAGAAGCAATGGGATAAGTCTTGTTTTTCTTAGCAAGGTTATTGGCTTGCTTTTAATCCTGTTAGAATGTTCATTTCAAATTGGGAAAAAAAAATAAAAGTCTTTTGGCAATGAAAGCTGAGGTTGAGAAAAAACAGCTAACTTCATCAGCAATCTGAAAAGAATGTTACTTTCTATATTAAAATGTTCCACTTGCTTCTTCTGAACACTGTATTTATCCAGGGCTTTTCCWAAGGGAAATTTTCCCAGACTGGTTTGATTCCAGGCAAACTAGATSTACAAATACACCAACTTCTCATGTTCAGAAACTTCCCTGATCACCACCTTTTCTGCAGTTCATTCGAGCCCCTGTAGACCAGCTCTCTAATTTTAGAAATATTAACATAGAAGGTTTACGTTCCCAACCATTCCCACAATACAGCCTCCATCTCATCTTGTAACCTCATCTTCCACACTTTCTCCTGCTACATCAACAATATCTCAGTAAAATTGTTCGTGATGAGCAGCACYTGCCTGCTGACAACAAAGAAGTGACACAGGCCAGGGAACAGAAGATACAGAAACCCACCCTGCTGTACAAATATTGCATGGGAGGATACAGGAACAGCAAGGTCTGTGTTTGCTCAGTCATAAAAAATGTACTGCATAAGATGAGGGRAAAATCCAACCAACCAAACCACACACGGAAAGAGGGAGTGCCTTGAAGGAAATACAGAACAAAYACTGTCAASGTCCTCCCCCAGTCCCAGTGTTCAGTCCTAAACATCCACTTCAGAAGTCTAAATAAAGATTTGAGGTTTTACTCCCACAGTGACCATCACTATCGTGCCTCACACAGCAAGCTAAGAACCATTCAGGCTCTAGAGCATTTTCCTGCTGCTTGGCAAAGCTAACAGGGAACAAACCTGTTCATAAGAGATTACATCTGTGACAGACTTTCAACAGGAATCTTGACAATACTTCTATACTTCTATAAGAAACAGCACAGTAGAAAAGGACTACAACTCGAGAAATTTATAACAAAAACACAAACTACAGAATGATGGCAGAAGTAAAGAAGAAAACCTCAAGGGTGCCAGAAAACTTTAGTTTCAAGGTTCAATACCAATAAGCTTAGCCACTGCATTCACACCCATTCCTGGAATTTATTTAGTGGCTGCTGTTCAGGCTCTAGCTATGCCATGGTTTGAGGATAAAACAACAATTTGAGGATAAAAAAAAGGATGAAAACCCTTTAATTGTTTTGACCTTTAATTGTTCAAAATAATTTGTTTAATTATGCCCATTTGACAGGGAACACTGAGTAAAGGTAAACTCTCGGCTTTGACTCCTCCACAAGGTTAATTACCAGGATATAGTAGACAATGCAGCCTGAAGCTATAAATTACASTACCTGCTCTGAGACTGATCCCTGATTGTGAAACCAGCAGAACAGAATTTATCACCTTACAACAYGTTGTCGTTTTTCATCAGATATGAGCTGAGGCATCCACCACAGTGCTTTTCCAAGACAAGGACAAACCACAGTCAGCCTCAAACTAGCTAACTGCTATTTTACCAGCCTGAGCAAGATTTATCTTTGACTCATGCACTGCAGCATACAAGTTCTTCTCTCCTGTACCAGTTATAATATTTTTCATCCTGACAGATAAAAAAGTCCTGCAATTTTGGTTTTTCATGAAGTCTTCTGTTTATGTGACTCCCTGTCTATCCTTCCTTTCACCATGAAAGAAACTAATTTAGCAGAATAGGTTCCTTATCCAATAGGGCTCTGTTCATGCCACCCAAAACCCAGGAAATGTGTTTTACACAGATCTTATTGCTCATTGTTCACCTTTCCAGACCTTGATTGGACTTAATCCAACAATGTATATTTTAAGAGTACAAACACATCATCCACTTCCTACAAAAATTGTTTCCTTAACAAAAAAAATCAAAAGTAACTCACTGCTCTGAACAGGTGGTGGAACAGAAACAAACTCAAATATGAGGGTTTTTAAAAAGTAACCAATTTGAATTGCTTGCTAGTATTCTGCCTGAAGACCTTTACCAGGTTCRATGATCCTTCTAATTCAATATCATCATAATCTTTATTATTACAGAAAATAATCTAAAACTTTTTGACCTGCTGGAGCAAGGCAGTGGGGTGGGAAAGAGCATCAGAAAAGTAGCACTTGCAAGCTTTAGTCAAAATAAAATCAACCTGAAAAGAAATTGCATGTCCAACAAAGAAAACCTGAATGGGAAGACACACCCATAAGCCACAACCAAGTAGTAAAAATATTACTAAGAACATTCACATAACTCTYCCAATGACAGCAGCCCTACATATATACTCAGGGCAAAAAAAATCCAAAGAACTTAGTTGAACTGCATGGACTTTCAAGATCTATGAGCAGCAAAAACCTCAGTTAATAACAAGAGGTCWTTTCACTTTGGATCCCTACTCGGCCCTGATCCAAGCGCTTCTTTTTGTAGCACACTCCTTCAATACTCTCTTTCAAAKATATAAAATACACAGTCAAAACATTTATGACTGTGTATTTTACAGTGTACAGACAGACACTTTCCAAACAACAAAACAAGYAAGAAAACAACCCAAATTAAGTTTATGCAATGTTTGAAGTAGTAGTGGAATGAGGTTGTTCTATTTCAAACTCATAATTCTAACAGAAAATAATTTGCTGCAAAAAAAAAAACCTATAAATAGTCTGAACTATGCTCCCAACTGACTAATGCCTCAGGGATTTATACTCCTCTGTTTTAAGTTCCACCATGAAAKAACAAATTTTTACATCATTAGTGCGAGTCAGAATAGGTAAATACCAATTACTCCATGAACTAAAGCAACAGTGTAATATTCAGTACTAAAAGAGTTACTAAAAAAAATCTGATTCGTTCATTTCACACCAGCAGTTTTTAATTCAATGCTGTGCCTGAGCTTGAAGTGCAGAGCCAGGGAGTGGCCCSACTGCAAAGGAGGCCAAGTGACATCAAGCTGTTCAAGTGACAATTCCTCACATCAGACACAATGGCTGGAGCTGCATGGGACCTTAGCTAAGCTCTGTACGGACATACCCGACACTACGACAAAACCTCTCTGCTGACAGCCTTGGGACTCCCCAGATGAACAAGAGGTGCCAATACATCAACTTTTTCTTAAAGGTGAGGGTTTCCTGGACAGAGAAGGCTTACACATTCAGCTGTCCAGCAACACTGAGAAGATTACTACACCCACATACCTTCATTCATTCTAGACTATAAAGAATTACTGATTTTCAGCTGATTAATTCTTTCCAGGAACAGAATTAGTTTAGAGAAGTAAACTAGAAAGATAGGTACTTCAAAACAATCACAAATAAGGAATGCAAAAAGAAAGCAAGACCACAGCCTTCAAATCTACTCTGCGCTTGAGAKCCGCAAGCTTCAAAGCTTACTACTGAAAAATAAGTAATTTCTCCCCTAAATCCTAACATTTGCACGATGCATTTATTCTTCCAGGTAATAGAAAACCAGGTATTTTTAAAACACTAACAAGTGTAGCCACTAACTAGTTACTCRACTGTAGATAAGTACAGTGTTTACAGAGTGAGTGCAAATTCCCAAGCTCAAAGTTATCTGCAGCAACAATAAAAGGGACGTTCACCCCCATCTGCTTCTAAAAACACCTAATTTAGAGCAACTAGTTAGGCCAAACTCCAAAATTAAACATCCTTTTTTATCCAAATCAGAGGTCTTTGGGATGCAGGAATTAATCACAGAGAATATCATTTCACATGTTGACTACATGGCTACAGTAAAGTTTAGCACAAATAAGAGACTTACAGAAGCATCACAACTCATTTGGATCTTTCATATGGGACTGATGTAACTGACAGTTCTCAAGCCTGCCAGAAGTTCAGATCCAAAAGGCTGAATTGGAAGCCCACCACTCCTGCTGGTGAACACTTTCTCAATGCCCTCACAAAAAACCCTCACCACCTACACTATGCAGTGAAAGAAAAAAAAAAAAAAAAAAAAAAAAAAAAAAAAAAAAAAAAAAAAAAAAAAAAACAATCCAAAAAAAACCCCAAAACCTTTTAGCCTTCCCTTACTAAGTAAGGCAATATATTCTCTCTCAAATAAACAATGCATAAGGAAAAAAAAAAAGAGGCAACATCTGAGAAGAACTTGTTTCCCTTTCTTTGGCGATCTTAGACAATACTACCGATCAGACCACACAGTGACACTCCACAGTGTACAGGGAACAGCCAGGTAGYGGGGCTGTGTTTGTTTTATTCAGTTGGCACAATCTAATGACTGGCACTGGTCCACACACAGCATCTGAGACAGCTGAACAGCATGGAAACAATTTCACATATAAAAACAAACAAAAAAAAACAGCTGCCAAGCAAGAATCACACAAGAATATGGWAGAATTGTCTCTTAGAAAGATACCACTGAGTCCCAGCTCTGACCCATAACTGACCCCAGGTTTATCCCATTCAGGATCTAACCTCTTATCAAGATTCTCCAGTGAGCTCTGAAAAAAATCTGGAACAAACATGGAGCAACAATAGAAGGAATACACAGTAAATACCTATTGCTGTACTTTGGATTGCTTATCTACTTTACAGTTTCCAGCTGGGGAAACTGCCTGAGGCAAATTCAGTATTTACATCAAACACACCTGTTTTCAAATAAACTGGCAAAAGGAAAGGGACAACCTTTGCTTCACTGCATGACAACTCAAGTTTCACAAACATGAAAGTGCTGCTCGCTGAAGGGTAAACATGCAGCCCTTTCCTTTTTTCTTTTAACTCTTTTGCTATCTTCAAGAGAAACTCCAAAGAAAAGTCACTACATAGAGCTGACAAGTCCCTATCCCCATTTCCAACAGTTTACATAATATACTTTTCAAATATATCCAGTAACAAACAAGGTTCAAGACAGTAAACATAAATGTATGAAATAAAAAAAAAAAATTGGTGCCATCATTCAGTTGTATATTTTATATATTATTATATATATTAGTATATTCTGTATATAACAGAAGCCTCCAAATGCAATTTGAAGCTGACAAAGAAGTTCCTACAAATTACATAGAGCCTTGGCTAAAAATAAATGAAATTTTCAGTTTGTTCAAAAGCCCTGCTATTTCTGTAGTCACAATTAAAACATGTGCTGTTCTAAATTATGTATCTACTTTAACGACAGCTTCTTTTTTTTTTAATCCCTACGTTGCTATCACATATCTTGGCACTGTTTAATGCAGCGTTATTGAACAGACACTACGGAAGCTCCATTTTCCAAAACTTGCTAGAGGTCTAGAAAACAGCATCTCCTGCAACCTTCAAATCAGACAGACTTCTTCGCCTGACTTTTTACAGTAGTTCAGGTTACGTATTTTAAGTTGTTATCTAACATTACATCTTGACAATTTTGACTACATAAATGTCTCCATGAAATATCACCATTACACTGCTGTTTTTGTTACATCTTTCAGTGGCCTTTGACATTTCACTGAATTTTCAGTCTGACAAAATCTTATAGGGACTACAGAGAATAAGCTAAAGATGTGACAAGACATTTGAATGAATATGATGGCTCCAGAAATTTTAAGTACAAACATTTTGGTCTCTGACCTCATACTAAGGTCAGGTAAGAAAAAGGAACACAACTATCATAAATACACTGACATAAATGCATTGACATAAAATCATTAGGTCTTGAAAATCTTGCTGAATCTTTACTGCATTCTATACAACATGTTCCTTACAGTACTTTGGAAGCAGGGGGAAAAGAAGTCACAARAGTAGCTACAAAGGCACTTTCAGGAAGAAAAAACTCAGCAGAAATGCAGTGAGGACAGGGTCACAGGTAAATACGGAAGCAGTGCTCAGTGCAAGTTAGCCGCTGCATCAGTGGGAGGAAAGTGGTCCACATGACTCTTAGAGCAACTCAAAAAMCAGGAAATTTACAGAAATAGCCAAGCTGTGGGGAAAGCATTCATACACTAAAGCTTTACAGCAACCATATAGTTGCACTAGTTTTGTATTGCTTCTGACGTTACTAGGGGTGTTCCAGTAAAGCACTGACTCACTCAGTTGAAAATAACTGTGTGAGCTGGGGGCGGTATCAGGGAATGAACCTTCCACGTCTCACAGCAGCCGGGCTTTCAGGTGCATAACCCTCATMATCAGCTCCTTCATCAAAACACAGAGCACCAACACATTCCTTCATTCTCGCCAGAGTTTTCTCTCCACACTTTCTGCCCCAGTGCATCTGTCGCTGTTCCAGGCTGAGCTGCCTTCCGCGATTCTGCCACTCCCTTCAGAACCTTATCTCTCCACTGTTCCTCCTTAACAGGAAGAACCTTCCAGGAACTACTATTAATCTTAATGAAAGAGAAAAACACATTCCACAAAAATACTCCCTTAATGCCCACAAACAGGATAGGGAGGAACTGTTTTGCTGAATATGAAGATGTTTGTGTCGTTTTCTGTCACACGCACTTACAGCGTACCAAGAGTTTGAAGAGTTTTGGTTTTAAGACAACTAAAATAACTTCAAGACACTTAAAGACACTTTAGTTTCTTAAAGTCTAAAGATATTCCAAGCACATACGATAAAAGGAGAAGTATACTACGAGCAGTTTACAGAAAGGGGCCTTTGGGGGGAAAAAAAGCATTGCGTAATAGCCAGCCTACCATCTTAAGCTGCTTCCTCCTGACAACTGTACATATCAAAATTATAAGCTCAAAACAAGCTAAGGGCGCAGGCAAATAACCGAACTGCAACTACAACAACAAAACACGCCCTCTCCTCTGAAACMCATTTCCCCAGGAAACAGGAGTTGCTTCCTCCCAAGCGCGGAGCTGCCGCAGGCCCCGACCTCCTCTCCGCCGGCCCTGGAGCCGCTGTCACCCCGCGGACACCCCGGCTCCGGCCGCCCCAGGATCCGCACGGGGACAGGGGCCCGGCCCACAGCCCACAGCCCCGCGGGGAGCGCCCGGCCCCGCCGCACCGGGCAGCCCTGACCCCTGTCCCCTCGCCCCTGTCCCGTCCCGCTGGTCGCGCCTACCGCGGGTCCCGTGGAGCCGCCGCGGCCGCCGCCCGTCCCAGGTGCTCGCTGGCGCTGCGGGGCGGTGCCGGGAGCGGCAGGAGGAGGAGCTGCTGCGGCCCCGGCTCCCTCCGCCCGCCCCGCTGCGAGGGAGGGCCGGGGCCGGACGGTGCGAGACCTGCCGGGGCGGCGGGCCCGGAGCGGAGCGGGGCGGGGCGGCCTAGCCCGGTCAGACTCAGGGACGGTATTTATTAAAAACAAAACACACAGGAGAAAAGGTAATTCYACCCGTCACGTGGGCAGCCTGGGCATTCCCCAAGGACACAGGACGCTTGAGGGACCGGGTGACATGAACGCGGCATAATCAAATCCCGGAAGCTACGGTCCGAGTCAGGGTTAAAAGCGTTCAGCACAAGATCGGATTTAAAACCAAAATCCCTGATTGTTCTCACCAGGAAATTTCAGAAAATATGCTTTCTACGCAAGGCGTATAGAAACCCTCATTTTSTATATAAACATACTTTTCCTTAAGTAAAATTCCACCAAAAAATCCAGAGGAAGGAGATTGTTCGTGTTGACCTTTTCTARTACAAGCAGTAATAGCTAAAGGCTTCAATAAACATCTTTTTTTTTTCTTTCCTACATGCATTCTTTAAAGATGAGTGAAGTTGCTCACATGGAAGCATTTAGGGAAACAAACCAAGATAATAAAAATGAAAAATTAAAAGGACCAGTATTTTCCAGWTAAATTTTGTTTGCCAAGACTAATCAAAATAGCAAACACAGCATTATCTAACTGAATCACAGCATTATACAACCTGGGTGGGGAATGAACTTGACTTTGCAGCTGGGAACAAAGTCCAGAACTTCCTTTCCAACAGTTGCTTCCCYAATRTGTATGCTTTATAACAGGCAATTTMATTTAGGATGAAACTTATTTGGGATAGATGTGTTCACACTTCTTCAAGCATCCTGTTCAGCCACCCACAGATTTCATTGGAGGGGCTGGGATTTTTCTCCTCCATACAACTTTTACATACCATAGTGACCAATCATTGAAATACAATAGCTGTGACTGAACTAAAGAAAAGAAATTGCCGTTCTCCATTTCCCATGGGCGGGCAAGTGTTCAGCCATCTCCAGGAGGGCAGGACTCCATTCACACAGTACAGTTASATGGAAAGATAAATGCCATCACTCCAAATGTCCCACCTGCCTTCATACACTGAGCACAAGGTCATATGGTCTGGAWTATCCCTTGGGGTCAGCTGGGGTCAGCCGTTCTGGCTATGCCTTTATCCAACTTCTTGTGCACCCCCAGCCTCCTCCCTGGTGGGGTGAGAAGCAGAAAGGCCTCAGCTCTATGCAAGTCCTGCTCAGCAATAACAAAAACATCTCTGTATTTTCACCACTGTGTTCAGTGCAAATCCAAAACATAGCCTCTTACTAGCCACTGTTAAGAAGACAAACCTCAGCCAAAACCAGCACATTACCTTATTGTGGTTTAGCACAAATTAGAAATTTTTACCCACATTACCTTAAGCCTCACTGATAAAGGCWTTTTTGATTAATAGGCAAAGCTAAGCATCAACACAGGTTCTGATGCCATGTAGTGTGATGTTCTATGCAGACAGATAGAGAAATAAAGATGTGCCCAGACGGAAACAAGGCCAGGGATCTTTGTCCTCTCAGTCTGCTGGTATTGCTTCTCTTGGGAGCTGAACTCCTTTCACCTGTGTCAGCCAAAAGGGGCCACATTATCTCTAACACAAGAGTTCTGTTAACCAGAGTAACAGAGTGAATTAGGTTAGGAACTATATACAGGAGCTGCTACTCCCATCAGATGAGGACACAGGGACTTCTACAAAGCATGACTTCTTCTTCCAGCGGGATTTGAAAAAAAAAAAACAAACTCATATTTCTACAACTTCAGTGCTGCTATTTTTTCATGTGAAAAAGACCTTTGAGTATCATGCCTAGGCTGGAAGGGATGTATGAGGAAGCTTGTACTGCTGCAACCAGTCTGGTATTCATTCCAGGCTAGGTTWTGCTCACTTTGAAGTCAATTGCAATGTTCCATGGGTTTAACTAAGGTCTAGATTTGGCTCACTTCTATGAATCCCTCTATTTATCCAGCCTCACTGACTGGAAGTCCCACACCTTTGATGCTGCATTCATGAACAGAAAACTGAACTAGCTATGGCAGCAYACAGAATATTCTTCTGACAAAGAARTCATTGTATGGAAACCTCACTMTCTGCCATTTTCAGACAGTCAAGGGTTAGACATTTGATTAATATACTTTATTTCTGGAATTTTTTCCACAGGAATGATAACATCCGAGCCCATGCATTTTGGGACCTCTTGTTGGACCAAATACCTTCTCCTGAAAAAACTGTTATGGGCAGCACAAGTACTTGCCAGCATCCACTTAAAATTCCAGGAAGGTTACCAACAAGTTTTAATACCTGGGGTTTGTTTCCCAGCCTCTTGGGTTCTAATATTTAAGCTGGTATTTAACCAGGATGGTACCCCAAATGCCATGTGCTGTGCAATTGAAGAGAGGTTTACTTTTACTCGTATAAAAATATGCTGTCACTTTGTATCGGGATTTCAAACCAGATGCATACAGACAGTGATGCCACAGTCAGAAATGAGGCCTAGARTCCTTGGTGTTGGGATAGGTGAGAGTTTACTTGTCATCTTTGAGATGACATAGTCATACTGCTTTCTGGCATTGTGCCAATACTGACCCAGTACCAATTGAAACAGGAAACCTGTTTCTCTCCTTGTGGGAGAACCCAAAAATCATAGCAGCATTTCCTACAAGCATTGCATTTTTCTAGTGATCCTTCCAAGCTGACAAGTTCCAGCCTTGTAGTTTTCCAAGTGGATTTGTGCCATTAYAATACACAAACCAGCACCAAATGGTGGAGACTAGTACAGCAAAACATCCACACTCCTGATTTCACAGGTACTATCTTMTTCATTTTTCTATATTCATTTTACAGCATTTCATTTCCATCACTAAAATATTCCATTGCTGGAAACTCAAAAAGAAAAACCTGAATGTTTACACAGTAAAAGCAAGCAAAAAATACTAAAGAAAACATAAAATCTGCAAGCAMTATAACACTGTCTTTTAGACAGTCTAGGAACCTGAGTACCAGTCAGTGTGTGGTACATTTTGGGAGTTCTAGCCTGGAACCCAAATAGTCCAGGTTACCCTACAGGTTTCCTGCATGAACTTGATCAGGTTCAGGTGTCTGAAGACAGACACGCATAAAGCCTACATTCATTTTGAGCCCTGGGGAACTGACATGCATCATTTGTTAATTCACTCTCTTATGAGAAGGGGAATCCTCTCACAATCCAGTCATGTTGGGTTGTAGATCACTTTTTCACAGTCCTGATAACTGGTGGAGATTTTAGAAAGACATTTGCCCGAATGCTTTCACTCTGCTTTAGCCACAAAAGAYATTTRTCTYCCCTGCCTGTTTTTCTACTGCTCCTGAGCATTCTGCAGTTTTTATACTTACTTTTTTTTGCATGTGGTTTCTAACTCCATCAGCTTGCAACTCTTTTATGCACCTGTTTTCCTTCTCCATAACTGGGCCCTCAGTTAAACCAGATTAGCATAAGGGTAGCAAGTAAAAGGGTAGCATAATCTTCCCATGACTCAGACATCATGTACTTGGATTTATCGCCCCTGCTTGTTCCTCCACARGTTCTTTGTATCTGCCAACATATTAGGTGGGATATTTAGGTAACAACGTCATCCTCAACCTGTGTTACACTCCAGAGAAAATTTTACTGCTTAAAAACCATTGCTCAGGGGCAGGCTTAGYTGCACTGACTGCAGACCCGCTTCATTTCCCTGGTGCATTTGTGCTGCAATAAGAGACATCAATGTTTAATGTCTCTGCACTGGCAGTAGTCTGGAATAAAGGTTATAGAGCCTATGGCTCGACTTGCTGYATGCTGTGGAATGCAACACTACAGCCATTTCATAACGGGGCCAGAACTTGTGATGGACTGYACAAACTACATTATCTGCCTTAGACCTGGTTAGGTCTCTAGCATAAAAGATTTTTTGTGAGATCATTTTCCTGCATAGATCTTGTATTTTTCCCCAAACCGTCATGCCATGAGCTTTGATCTGTGAGGCTGTCAACCTGAGCATCTTCCATTGTTACTRAAAGCATTCAATTTAAGGTACGAGTGAATTGGAGTGTTGAGCATGCACTTGTATGTCAACCCTCACCCTTCACATGCAGCAGAATATAGCCTTGAGACAAACATTTTCATCAAGGAGTAACAGATGGAAGTGCTTTAGTTTCCATTTTGCATTAACAGAACCTCCTCATTAAACTCTTGAAGTGTTGCAGTCRGATAGCTTTGTGCTTTACTGCTTGGTGGGCATGGCCCAGCTGACTTCAGTGGGCTGACACTGCCACACACACATAGAAATCACTAGTTCACCCCTTTACAGATCAGATTTTCTACCATTTGTTTAGATTTTCTGCTTTGGGTTGTATCTTGTGTAAAACTGAATTCTGAACTCCAATCAACATTTAATTCTAAGCAATAGAGTTAGCCAGCAGGAAAGGAAATGCACAGAAACAAATTGAGCTGGCCCTGGCATGCACACACTCCACCTACACCTGCAGAGTTTATGCTCCCAGTATGGGGAAATAGATAAATATCTGCTAGTATTTTTAACTACTGCTGAATGCAATTCAGTTGATTGACTGGGAACCTCATCTGAATGGATTCTAGATGAGCCATTTATCCCTATGTGTCAGCTGTGGCAATTTGTAATACCATTCTGAACTGCTCTCTTCATTATTGTAAATGACRTTCCAGCCCCACAAAGTTTCTGGGTGGAACTTAATATGATGTAAATACAAATACCTACCCAGCTACTTTTTTTTTTTCTCTAGCAGGAAGTAGCAAGCAAAGCAACAGGGGCATTCAGCAGTATCAAAGGGTTTTCAATTTATTAAGGAAAGTCATTATTGTAGGGTTAACCAAAAGGTYTTATTAAACAGTGATTTAATGATGATTAAACAGTGACTAAACAATGCCAACAAGGAGGTCAAACA